AACCACATGAAAAACCGCATGGGGCTCTCTGGTTTTTTCATGCGAGGTTTTTTCATGTGGGTATAGGCTGGCTGATATGGAAATCCACATGAGAAAAAAACAATCCAGTATGGAGGTAAATAACCACTCCACACCATCTCCACATACCCCAATCTACTCGGGAACTACACCCACATTAACCCCCACCAACTCAACCAGCTTAGTTCAATCGCAAGTTTTTGGAGCAAACATCGGGGGAAGTCTTGTAGCTTTACCTTTGACAGCTTTCACCAACCCAACCCTTTCCGCATCGGACTGGTTACGGCTACAACAACTCAACACGGTCTCAACTGCTCTGATGCCACTATCCAACAACCAAGCTACGCCTCCTATGGGCACCCCTAACCCACCAAAGAGGCCTCGAGGACGACCTCCAAAGGAAAAAAATCAAAAAAAAGTCAATTCAATTCCTTCATCTCAACCTGAGAAATCGATTCCTCTTTTTCATCCTGATTCTGATTCTGAAAATCAAAATGGAATCAAAACTCAAGATGACGAGCTGATGGATCTCGAACCCAACCAAAGAAGCTGGTTGATCCCTCAAAGCGAGGATGGCAAGTCGGACATGGATGTAATTGTGGAATGGTGTAGCGTGTATGAAAACTTCAATGCTTGGCGCACCCAGAAGCAAATTGTGATTTGCAAGAAGGTGTCTGATTTTCTTACAAGGAACAATCATCTCAACAGACCAGGTCCAGAATGCTTAAAAAAGGTTAGTGGGGTTTGCATGTAGTTTGATTTCTAACTTCCTGTCCTAATCATCATCTTTTTCTTTATTTTCATCTCTTTTTGTTCCGTTATATAGATCAAGTTGCTTGAACGGTGGTTCAAAGATGCGAACGAGTTGAGAAAGGGAACGGGGGAGGGTAATCTCAACGGTGAAAAGTTTGAACATACACTGTCAAAGGAGAAGGTGGAGGAATTTAAATTGGCTAACACTACACCAAATGACATCTTTTCCCGGGGGTATAGAAAAGGTAGTGCGTGCATAGAAAACCTTTTGTAGAGTACTTGTCTATACCCATAGAGATCAAGTGCACTATGCCCATACAAAACATTCCGTTCTATACCCACAGATAACAACATTTCTACAAGCATGTAAACTACATTTAAGCCTATACACAATGTTCTTCTCAAGCCTTCTTGAATGGGCCAACATGATCCATCAGGAATGATGTAAGTGCGTAAATGGGATCTGTCAATCTGTGTAAG